GCATCGCCATGCTGTTCCACGAGACACATGCTGCCTTTCTTTCTCCTTTTTTTGCTTCCCCACCAAAACTTTCGAAGTAGAGATGTTAAATGCTGACATAGCCCTCGCAGCAATTTGAAAAGTGCCATCAAATAGGTGGGTATCGCTTGGATAAGGAATTTATATATACTCAAAGAGAATGCAAGTGAAGCTTAAATAGGTTGCAGATATTGCGGCCCATTTTGTGCGCGCAATTTTTTCCAAGATATTTGTAAAACATAAGTAATAAGTTATGTTCAAATATTTGTGTGTTAAAAATATTATACATACATACGATGATTAAAACATAAAAACATATAAATATAAATATGTGTATTATATATAAAATATTTAGTAAAACATAAGTAATAAAAACATTTAAGATATTTATAAAACATAAGTAATAAAATTATGTTAAATATTTGTGTATCAAAAATACTATACATACAAATGATGATTAGTAAACAAAAACATTTAAATAATATGTGTATTATATAAAAATATTAAGTTGATACGGAATTAAAATGTTTATTAAATAAATATGTTTAATGAATCCAAAAAGGATATACACTTGTGTCTTATATTTAAATTCTAGAAAATGAAGAATACAAACATTTACTAAATATTTATGAATATTTAGTTGTGTAATTTTTTTTACTCATGTGTTATATTCAATATATGTGCAATTTAAATATTAGCCAAGTTATAAATTATGAACACTTTTAATTATACCAACATTGAACTATACAAACTTGTGTATAATTGTTGAAATGTTTGTATAATTACAATAATATTTTTGAATTGTAATTTAGAAAACCAAATATGTATACACACATTTATATGACACACATGTTTACATAATACTTAGGTTTATAAAATATGTTACTCAATATTTTGTATCTTAAAAAAACATGTGCAAAATATATAATACACACATTTATATAAGATACGGGTTTTACAAATATCTTTAAAAAGTAGCACGTGCAAAATGGGCCGGAGTATACGCAGCACATTTAAGCTCCACATGCGTCCCCTTCGAGTACATATTAGGTCGATATTACACATTCAGACCTGAACTGTGGAGTGGCTATAGCGTCCACTACCAAAACAGTTGGCCGCAGGTTAATTTTCACATATATGTGCAGTACTGTGGTAGGGTTTTTCTGCAAATAAAAAGTATGAGGAGGTTTTGTTAAAAATGCATCGCTGCGGTTGACTTTTTCGGTGAATAAAAAAATATGAGGGTGTTTTTTTGTAAAAATATGTCACATCCAGTACCATCACTCACTAACAGGTGGGGCCATACACATGGATACGCCTGCATACACATACTATGATCATATCTGCACGCTTGAGTCAACTTAGATGACCACAAAACTGTATTTTAGAAGTTCTAGCACCAAACCGCGGACACATACACATGTTGTGATCATATATGCACGCTTATGTGATACAAGTTCTATGATTCCCAGTGATATTACCTATTAGTCAACCTATGTGGAAACTGGTACCGAGATGATGTTGTGAGGTAAAATTTGAAGAAAGAAAGAAAATTTCTCGTGCGCTGCCTGACTGGTCGTGCGGGCTTGTGCTCGTTGCCTGGATCTCTCCTCATTGTCTAGCTGCGTAAGGACATGGCCGCAACACCGTGGATATGTCGACGCCAATTCTGCTACTCCCGGCGGCTGGTTGGCTGGCTCCGGCTCCTCCGCAATGCTCCGTGTGGCTGTGCCATAGTTTGCTTCAACCATGGATAGGGGCAGAGAGCTCAGAGCTGGATGCGAAGGAGAGGCGCGGCACCATGACTGCTATTTACCGCTTACACCGAGCAGTACGATACTGCTAGCTAACAGCGATCTCCCTCCAGGTCTGTCCCAATAGCGGAGTGGCCGAAGTACAGAGAAACATTGTTTTGTGAAGATCCTAGAACTTTTAGTTGTATTTTTCCTTTTTTGTTCTGTCCTTGGTACTGGTTTTCTTTTGGTTTTTCTTTTTATCATTTTTCTAAATTCTTTTGGTCCTGATTGTCCCCAATTCAAGATCTTTTTTTCGAATTCACAAATATTTTTTAAAAAAATTGACGAATAATTTTTTAAATTCATGTAATTTTTTCGGTTTCCAAAATATCGGCCGATTAAAAGATTCATCGCTTGTCAGTGGTTCAACGCCAATAGTATGCCTTATTTTTAGTGTTTGTACCGATTTATCACTTTGACAAGCAATTAATTGAGAATCTAGCGATTAATCGGGTCGGTCAATGCGGTCAGAAACCCCAAAACTGGGCCTCCCCCATCAGCAGCCTCGCACACAACCTACATAATCTCCCGCTCAATAGGTCTCCCCGTGTTTGCTACAAAGAACTATGTTTATTTCACGATTACTTGGACCTTGTTACCCGCAAAAAGAAAAAGATACTTGGACCTTGTTAGTGTCTTTTTTGGTGTTTGGTTGTTTGCTAGCAAGAAGCCGAGAAATATGTTTATTTGTGTTTCCTCGGACCTTGTTATGTAACATACTAGTAATATCTATCATTTAATATGCAATGTTGTCCTATTTGAAACATGCAAAAACAAGACATGTGTGGTAGTGTTCTTCTATTTTTATTGTACTGGTCCATTTTATGTGATATGATATGATATCTAATATATACTGTTGTGATTCGCAAAAGAAATGTACTGTTGTAGTGTCATCCTATTTTTTTCAAGGATACATCAAGATTGACGTATCAAGATCATATATAGAAGAAGCCAAGAACGGCCTATGGTTGTTACAACTTAGCCACAGCTCTCAAAGTCATTGACCCACATTAATTAAACCCATTAAGAGTCGCGTGAGTGGCGGCCAACCATCGAACACAATAAAAATTACATCGAGATTCCGAGATTCCGAGACCACCGAACAACTGCTAACGTAAACTGGGTTGTGAGTAGTGTCCGCTCTCTACCTTCTATACGAACGCCAACAACTACCGATGATATGAATTGACAGTAGCAAAATAGTGGAGTTTAATTATTATTTTTGTAATTTGCATGATTTCTACTTGCAAGTCACTGTATAACTTATTTGCTGTGGTGTGCAGTGGTGATGTGCCCGACTGATTTTTGAATTTTTACAGTCCCTAAATCTCTGAAACGTCCAGGTTTAGTGCATTTATTACACGTACAGTCTTGTTTTTGACTGAAACTATTTTGATTTCAGTCTTTATTTTTTGGTCTCGTGACAAAATGTACAAACGTACATTCATTATTCCGTTGTTTGTTTATCATACAAACATACATAAACGTGTGTCACGTCGTTACCGGATGAAAATTCTGATTGAAATCCAATTTACCCTTAGCTGATTGCGACAGGAAATGACACTCCCCGAAAGAAAGACCCGCGGCTGGGGTTTCAGTTAAATGGAACCGGGGAGGGCTCCCTGTTTTTCTAAAAAGAAAAAAGATCCGCCACACGAAACTACTTTCGCGCCGCCGTGGTGTGTGAATTACGTGACGAGGCGCTGCAGTGCCCGCGGCACCGGCGGCACGTAGACGTGGATGGCGCCCTCGAGCGCTTGCAAGACCTGCGCCATGGTTGGGCGATGTGCCTCCTCGTCCTGGATGCACCAGCACGCCACCCTGCACGCCCGCTCCAGCTCCTCCGGCATCACCTCGCCGTGCAGCCGCGGGTCAGCCACGGCTCCCACCTCTCCTTCCACAACCTTTCCCGCGGCCCACACGGGGAAGAAGGTCAAGGACTCCCTCGCCCCAGTCCCTGCCGCCTCCACCTCGCCATATCTCTCGGAGTTACGTCGTCCCGAGATGAGTTCGAAGAGCACCATGCCGAAGCTGTACACGTCCGCCTTGGCACCGATTGGCTGCCCGGAGATCCACTCTGGTGCGAGGTACCCTATGGTGCCTCGCATCGTTGTCAGTGCACGGCTGAAATCCCTGCCCACCAGCTTCGCCATCCCAAAGTCGGCGATCTTCGGGGACATGTCCTCGTCCAGCAGGATGTTCTCCGGCTTGATGTCGCAGTGTATGATGCGCTCGCGGCAGCCGTCGTGCAGATAGGTCAGCCCTCTCGCCACGCCAAGCATGATACAGTATCGGTCGTTCCAGCTCGGGCATGCGTTGCCGCCGAAAAAGGAGCCGTTGAGGGAGCCTCTGGGCATGTACTCGTACACGAGCATCTTCTGGTCACCCGACGAGCAGAACCCGAGGAGTCGGACGAGGTTCACGTGCTGGATGAGCCCCAGCGTGCTCACCTCCGCCCGGAACTGCTTGTCACCCTGTCGCGCAAGACTTTCCAGCTTCTTCACAGCCACTTGGACTTGGGTCGTGTTGCCTCCCTTTTGCTGCTTCAGGACCCCGCGGTACACCGAGCCGAAGCCTCCGCCGCCCAACCGCTCCGAGAAGTTGTTGGTGGCGGCACGGAGGTCGGCGTAGCTGTACACAGCCAAGGAGGATCCATTCTCGTTCTCCATGTACACAACTAGTCTTCTCCGGGCAAGGAGAATCCTCCAGGCTAGTATGACCGACGCGCCCAATGCTGCTACACCGGCCAGTGTGATGCCAAAGACAAGCCATAATTTTGTCCCACCTTTCTTCCCGTGTACGCTATGGAGATCTTGCAATGCTCTTTGTGAAAGCCGGAGATAAAAGTCTGACCCGGGGCTGCTGGAGTCCGGGAAGAGCTGCTCAAGGTTGCGGATGTCTCCGTGCCAGACGGAGCAACCCCCGGCTCCGGCGGAGAAGGCGTATGCCTGGCATGAACAGTTCTTTTGGCAAGCCGACTCACACTCTGCTTTGCTCTGGGCGGCGGTCATGGCGAGCGGCTCGTCCGGGAGCTTCACGTCTGGCAGTGCTAGGAACCCGTCCGTCGTCGACCCATTGTGCGCGCACTTGAGCGGCGAGCTCCGGCGGCACCCGCCGCTCCAGTCGCTGAGCGTCCAGTCCCTCTCCGACACCGGAGCGAACCCGGGCGGGCACCGGCACGGCAGCTGGCTCCTCTGGTTGCAGACGCCGAACGTGCCGCAGAGCGCGTACGCGTCGCACTGCACGGTGGGCGCCGCCCAGAACAATTGCCAGCTCCGGCTCGCAGGCACCCAGACGAACTGCTTCTTCTGGCCGTTGAGATCGAGCACCAAGCGCGTGATGGTCGCGTTGTCGGCGAGCACGGTGGTGGTGCCCCGGAACGCCGGCGTGTCGACGAACGTCGTGTTGTAAAGGTTGGTGCCCCGTCCGGTCGCCGCTCCAACGTCGCCCTTCCAGCGGCCGCCCGTCCAGACGCCGCCGCGCCAGTACATGCGGGACCGGTTCCACAGCATGAAGAATTCGGCGGTACCATTGGGGTCCAACGTGTCGTAGAACATTCCCGGCGCAGGGTCCTGGGCGTTCCGCCATGACGTCAGCGCCTGGTACTCACCGGTGAGCTTGTTCTCCCCGAGCCACGCCCCCGGCAAGTACGTGTCCGTGGGGTGGTCGAAGCTCTGCCACAGCACGTTGGAGGTGTTTGCGCCGTCGACAAGGGCCAGGTTGCCGTTGTCGCGGATCTCCGCTGTGTTGTTTGAGCCTGGCGACAAGGAAGAAGAGAGGTTCGAAGACCACACCACGACCGGCGAGGCGGAGTCGCTGGTGCGACCGACGAGCTCGAGGTTGCCGTCGTCGGCGGAGACACGGAGCTCGGCGGAGGCGAGGCCAGACAGAGGACTCGCGCGGTTGCCGACCCAGACGACGGTCTGGCCGGGGATGTTCTTGTACCAGATCCCGAGGTAGAACCTGCCGTCGGAGCTACCGGCCGGGCTGAAGAGGCCGAGCTCGAACTTGCCCTGTGCCGAGACGAGCGTGTCGTTGCCCCGCAGCGGACGCGGCGCCGAGAGTGTCGCGGCTGCACCCACTGCAGGTGCAGGGGCGAAGCACAAGGCAAGGGCCAAGAAAGTGGCAGTGATGAGCGGCATGGTGATGGTGGAGCGCTTCCGTTTGCAGGGTGCAGCCGAATTTACAGGTGAATAGCGGAGACGGGTCGCGAGCGACACATGCGTGATGACCCCGGCACATTTTTCCGGTCAAGTTCTGCTGCTCCGTCAAGAAAGGACAAGAGAATAGTGCCATGGGGGGTCAGAGCTTTGCCGCAAGACTGCGAGTCCACCATGGTGACGTGCAAAGCAGCTGGAAATTTGGAATCACCTTGGCCCATGCTAGGACCGACGGGCAAGAGTGTCGTTCTAAACAAAATAGGATGCCCACACTTCAACGGAGCTTCACCATCGGCGGGCCCATACGAGGACCGACGGGCAAGAGTGTCGTTCTAAACAAAATAGGATGACCGTACTTCAACGGAGCTTCGGCATGGGCGGAAGTCGTGCTTAGGAGGATCGAGTTAGAGGGACAAGACTGGAGGGCGGCGGGATTGCTTGGAGAGCAAGGATCGTTAGAGCATCTCCAGCCGTTGGAGCCCCACAGGACAATCGCTGGGCCAAAAATAGCACGTCCTGGAGGGCCAAAACATCTTTGCCGGATGAAACGCGAGGACGGTTTCCCAGCCGTTGATGCCCCCCGGACAGTCGCCAGGCAAAAAGTGAATGAGTGGGCCAGAGAAAAGGATACATGAAGGAATATGATTGGTTGTTGCTTTCGCCGGCG